ACATGGACGTAGTGTCCATGACGTCACCCGTAGGGTACCGAAGAGAGGTTTTTGAAGCTCAAAAAATTGGGCGGAGCCAGCCGTCGCCATCTTGGCAGCGCGTCACTGCGCGTCACTCCCGGATAATCGAAAATGGGCAAAGAGGCGGGAGCAGGTTGCTGAAACCACGCCCACCTAGCTCGACGGTGGTGACAGCAGCGGCAATCCACCAGTCACTCAAGTGGCCACGCCCTTAATTATGCAGAACTTTAAGGCTTAATATAATTTAAACGGATTAGTTATAAAAAAAATGCACCCCCCTCACAGTTGTCATCAAGGGCAAAATTAGCTATATAGACCAAAATCATTTTTTAAACATGTTTTTTTCTGCTGTAAAGTTGGGCATTTTAACATGGGGAGTCTATGGGATTGACTCCCTTTTGCAGCCCGCCTCTAGCGGCCAGTCGATGAACTACAGTTTAAGTCACTTCCGTGTTGGCTTCACCAGAGAGAGCGGGAGGTTGCCGCTTGCACTCAACTCTACAAACACAACTCAACACAACACGCTGCACGTAGATCTTAAAAACCTTTAGATATAAAGCCTTATGCTTACATGCCTGCCATTCGTTTTGCAGACGAAGATAAATGTTATTCATGTGTTCATTTCTTTACAAAACGAAAATTTAAATGTAAAAAAAAAAAAAAGAAGGTGAAATGGAATCCTTCCATGCCGTTTAAAATGTACAATTCTTATTTTAACTGAATATTGAAGTGTTTGTTATAAATCTGTGCACATCATTAAAAAAAATAATAATAATAAAAAAATCAAAAAAACGTTCCAGTGAATTTTCACAGTCGAAATCTGAATAGAAATCCGCACAGCTGTGAATTTTGCCTAATTTCCATTCGCAGATTTTGCATCGGGTTCAAGTTGGTCATGCATATTCAGCACTTTGACCGGTAGAAACCTGCTTGGTTTGACAGCGACTTCCGTTTGAGCTGCGTTTCATATACACACTATCACTATCGACAACAGACCATGTATTTTTTGCAAAGAATGTTGCTGAAATTTTGCTTGTGTAACTGCACATTTACACACTTTAAACCACGACACAACTAATGCCTGATGGACAATAGGGAAGAAAAGACCGAGATGCGCCTCATGAAGCTGGAATCTAGACAAAGCGTAGCAATTTAGAAGAAGCCCATATATAAGATATTGTTTTATATTTCTTGGTCACGCCATAAATCTAATAATTGCATTTGTGTTTTTCATTGTTTTGATGACTATTTCATTGTTTTGATTCCACTATTTGGAAAACGAAATTAAAAATAACATTCACATTTGGCAAGTGTCCAATGAAAGTAAAACTGGGTTTCGTGTGAAAATAAACTACCAGTGCTGCGATCAACTGTCTACTAATGACACATCTGTTGTGTCTAACGGCGTTTATATCTGTGAGGCATTTACCTTCAGAAACTGAATTTAGGATCCCAAAAGTGAGCTGTTTTTTTTCCCATGTGGTGAAAATAAAACTAAAATAATAATGATGAGGAAGAAATGGCAATGTGTTTTAGGCGTTTATGACAGATGCAGAAACAGAGACTCACTACCATATGATGTTTGTCGTAAATATGTAAGGAAAAATAGATCTACACTACTGCTCAAAAGTTTAGGGTCTGTAAGATTTTCTAATGTTTTTTAAAGAAGTCTCTTCTGTTCACCAAGGCTGCATTTATTTGATCAAAAATGCTGTTAAATATTGTGAGATATTATTACAACTTAAAAGAACAATTTTCTATGTGAATATATGTTAAATTGTAATGTATTTCTGTGCTCAAAGCTGTATTTGCAGCAGTCTTCAGTGTCACTTGATCTTCAGAAATCAGTCTAATATGCTGATTTATTATCAGCAATGTAGAAAACATATTTTTGTGTAAACCATGTTTTACAGGATTCTCTGCTGAAGAGAATGTTCAAAAGAACAACATTTATTTGAAATAGAATTTTCTTATAACATTATAAATGTCACTTTTGATCAGTTTAATGTATCCTTGCTGGATAAAGTTATTAATAAAAAAAAAACATTGTGATAGTCTGTTCTCTAAATAGTTAAGGCCTGTTTTATTTGTCTGCCAAGTGAAAATCTTTCGTTTTATTACTTAAAGTAACAGCATACTTTCCCTCATCAAGTAATGACAGTGCCTGCAAACACTAATTCATTTCTTTTAATCAATTTAGTCAAATGTCTAGACAATCTAAAATGCATCCCATTCTCTAACTTTATCTAAGCTCTATTTAGTGTAAAGGAGAGTATGACAGTGGTGTAGTGTGCTTGCAGACTGTCACGCCGCAGTGTAGCTAATTTCCCTGATTAATCATCAGAGCGGACCAATAACAGCAATTCCTCTCAGTGCCCTGAGCTCCAGCTCTCTCTGTGTGTCTTGCTTTTCCAAACGTCCCTGCTGCTCATGTTCCCTGCAGTGTCAATCACGCTGTTGCCGTGGTGATAACAATGACATTCATATACTTCATCTCATTTAGCAGGCTCTATTTGGTGCCGTACAGTAGTGCATTAACGTGACTCGAGAGCGCCTCCAACAGGTCAAACTCACACTCGCTGTGCAGGGCCGGAACAACATGTGTATCAGATGTTCACTATCGCAAAATAGAATAGAATTAAAGATTTTTTTTAAGTAAACCACATAAACACATTTCATTACACCAAATACGCAAAATAATGTTTTTTTTAGCAACATCATACGACCTCTTTAAATACTTTTATTCCGCAAGGACACATTCAATTGATCAAAGGTGACAGTAAAGACATGTTACAATAGATTTCAATTTCAAATAAATGCAGTTCTTTTGAACTTTCTGTTCAACAAAATGAACAAAAAAAAAATGTATCAGTTTCCAGAAAACAGCACAACTGTTTTGAACAGCATATTAGAATGATTTCTGAAGATCATGTGACACTGAAGACTGGCATAACGATGCTGGAAATACAGCTTTGATCTCAGGAATACATTTTAACATATTCACATAGAAAACAGTTATTTCATATTGTAATAATATTTCACAATATTACTGTTTTACTGTATTTTCAACCAATTAAATGCAGCCTCGGTGAGCAGAATGAGATGTCAAAAACACTAAACATCTAACCGACCCCAAACGTTTGAACAGTAAGTGTATTTCAATGCCGTGATATAAAGCATCAGAGTAATTTCATTTAATTTACGCAACAAAGTTGGTGACTTCCACTTGTTATTGGCAGTCACTTTGATTTGAGTCAAATACGAACGTCTGCAGATGTCATACTCATTATTTGCTGCAAATAACAAAATTATAAGAATTATTCACAGAGTTCACTGCTGCGTGTCAATGACTCAATAAAGTCTGTCACTTAGCTCCCATGATGCCTCATTTATCAGGACATGATGAGTGATTGTCACCGCTCAGTACATCAGGACTGGGATGGTTTAGTTCATATTTAATATTACATTGCATGTAATATAATTTACTTTCATTCTCTTTCATCCACTCTTATCTTGATTGAATATATCCAAAATGCATATCAGACCTAATTAAAACTGTATTCACTTGACTTGGTAAGAAGATACTCATGAAAAGAGGTTTTATTTATATGTGACCCTGCAGCACAAAAGCAGTGTTAAGTCGCTGGGGTATATTTGTAGCAATAGCCAACAATACATCGTATGGGTCACAATTATAGATTTTTCTTTTATGCCAAAAATCATTAGGATATTAAGTAAAGATCATGTTCCATGAAGATATTTGGTAAATTTCTTACCGTAAATATATCAAAACTTAATTTTTGATTAGTAATATGCATTGCTAAGAACTTAATTTGGACAACTTTAAAGATGATTTTCTCAATATTTAGATTTTTTTGCACCCTCAGATTCCAGATTTTCAAATAGTTGCATCTCAGCCAAATATTGTCCTATCCTAACAAACCATGTATCAACGGAAAGCTTATTTATTCATGATGTATAAATCTCAATTAAAAAAAAATTGACCCTTATGACTGGTTTTGTGCTCCAGGGTCACATATGTTGATGATTTTAATCTATTCACAATAACTAAGAAGCAAATCTACTTCTATTTTTTGTGTGGTAAGAAAATCAGCCGATCCCCATCAACCTATGGGAAGACGACACCTATCTAAATATTCATATATAAGGTCCCGCAGTATTATCAGCAGTTTTGCATTGCTCAATAGCTAATTACCCTCCTCCATCCCCAACTCCTCCTCTGTCAGTCAGGTTCAGCCTTCTGATTCTCCTTTGAATCAGACTAATTCTAAAATGTGTACGTAACATTACTGAACTTTAACGATATCTGCAATACATTTATGTTGGTTCTGTTCTGTTTACCCTGCGGGGGGTTATCGCTGCTCTCCCTGATCTCATCCATGCTAGGCTGCATGGATGCGCAGGGAGTTCTTGCCCAGAACAGAACCATACCGCCAATCCAAACTGTATGCTAATTGTCAATCATCTTTGACGATAGTGGTCCTGACAGAAATTTTTTTTTTCGGTTTGTTTTTTTTGTATTTTAATTTGTATTGTAATGCACTTTAAATATGGAATATATTCCAGCTGGCTGTAGTCGTGTTGCTTTTCACTTTAAGTAGCTCTAAAATCTAATTTGCATGTGAACACATTCAAACCTGCCGTGTCGTGTTTACGCTCGACACACTGAGAATCACAGAGGTGTTTGGTGTCAAACCATTCCTCACAATATATGGGCATGCACAACTATATTTGAGGGGAATGTTTCCAGTGAACAACACTTAAAGCTGCAGTCTGATCCTTGTGGAATACAGCACACAAGACATATGGATGACGTTTACGGTGCTTTCAGCCAGAGAAACGATGTGCTGCCTCAGGCCTGGACAGGACCCGGCGTAATTGTTGGAATCAGGGTTTAAGGGTGCTACACAACAACAAAATCAAGCAGAACTGTCAGAAGTGAAGCAGGCTGGTCTTACCGATGAGCTCTGTGGGCGTCTTCTCTATGAAGTGCTCGCACAGCCTGATGAACATCTCTGTGGCCTCTGCTGTGGGGCATTCACCGTGACTGAACGAGACACAAACACACTGATATCAAGACGACAGGCCAAAGCTAGCACGTCACACCAACGACGCCCATTAGCAATGACATCACAAGAGGCGAAACCACCATTTTATACATTTGGATTTGTATTTTAACCAAAAATATACATATTTTCACAACATTTTCAAAATGATTCCTTAATCCACCCCATGTCTAATCTTAACAACTACCTTACTAACTATTAATAAACAGCAAATTAAGAGTTTGTTGAGAACTGGTCCCAAAACTAAAGTGTGACCAACAGTGCTTATAAATGGCTGTTGAGGTAGTATTCTCAATTGAAACGAGTCGAGGCTTGGACCCAGAAACAGCGGTGGATTACATTTCGAACGCAAAAAACACAACACAGCATTTCGATTCTATCGCTCACATACCCTTTGCAGGAAAGTTTGACATATTTGATTCCTTCTTTTTCTATCTCTGCTCGAAACGCCGGCCAAACGTTCACGCAAAGAAAGAAGGCGTAACTTTTATTCTCGCTGTAGTATTGTTGCTGCGCACGCCCCCACATATCTACCTCACTATGTGGAAATATTTGCATAATGAGGCCCAAATGTTCAAATCTCCCAAAACACAGTATTAATGTATAGATGAGAAGTAAAACAAAATAAAAAGATATATTATTTGTATGATTAAAATTTTTTATTTTTTTACAATTACTCTTTCAATTTTGGGGTCAAATTGACACACACATGTAGCACATTCAGTGTACTTTATTAATGTAACTGATTACATTTGCTTACTTTTTGATTACTTTTCTAACTTTCTAATGTTTTCAACTGTTACTCATTTTCAAACATACACCAGGCAGGGTTAACCTTACAAAAGTACTCAACAGTCAACACGGATTCCTGTCCAACTTTCGAGATTATAATATTTGAATTGTAAAGGAGACATTGGATGCAAAATTCACGCTTACATGGTGTTTGCATAAATATATCTTAGCAGTGTGTGGACACAACCACCCTATAAACTAATTAATTATTTATTAGATACTATGCATAAATTATATAGATTAGTAAATGTGATGCAGCTGTTGTACCAGTACAACAACAACAAAAATTGTTAATTGTTTATTAGTTATTTTGTTTCCTTCAATGCACTGTTAATTCATTTACCCAATGATAAAAATCCATTCACTAAAAATTACCAAGCCGTTTTGATTTTCTGAGCAGTATGGTGTCATATTGCTCAGGCCCCTCCCACAACCGCTGAAGTACTGTCCCATATTAGCATATGTGGTTTTGTGATGTAGAAGAACATAGGAGTGTTCATTTTTTCCCGACATCAGAGCCACCGAGGACGCAGTGCACTAGTGTTGTTTTTGATGGTAATGCACCACCGAATACACCTAAATTCATTTATGTCTGCGCAAGTAATTTCACTCCAGACTGCTTTCTGAATGAGGGACGATTTAAGGCATGTTTTGTTAAAAAGTTCAAACTCAAGGATAGATCTGTACCCATTGTTTGTGATCCAGCTGCACTTCCAGAAGTAGTAAGTGTCACACTTGATACTTTTTTTATAATTACTTGCAAATCGCCTTTGCTCTTCCACGAAAGAGAGGGGCGGGGTGAGCAGAGCTCATTAGCATTTAAAGGGACATGCCCCGAAACCAGCCGCTGTAAACAGAGCAAGGTAAAAAAGGGTGTTGTGAGGAATTTTAACCAAAGTATGTTGCAGACCTTCATGAAAACCCTAAAGAATCATACCAACTTGTGGAAGACGGGCATCCGATGTCCCCTTTGAAGCACAGCCACCACAAAATCACTTACTTCGAGATCATTCTGAGGTTAAATGCATATTTAAAATCACAACAAGCAATATTTGATTAGCTATGATACTGTTTTTGAAATCAAATCGTTGTAAATCATATGACTGGAAACACTGTCTGGAATCTAACAATGCCTTGGAGAAAGCAGTTCATTTAGAGCAGTCACTGCAATTTATGAAAGAACTCGATTAAATCTGTATGCGGGAGTGTGTGTGAAAAAAATCAGATGTAACCCCCTTTCTAACTTTCATAAGTAACTGTAATTTAATTACACTTTTTTTTTTCTCAGTAACTGTAACTGATTACAATTACTTTTATTTTGTAATTAACTTACGTACTTCCGTTACATGTAACTAGTTACTTCCCAACACTGAGCGCATTTTATTTTAACATAATATTTTACTCTGAACTTAGAGGCAAAAACGAGTCGTTAAATGTACTATAAATCTCAGGGAATACACCCTTTTCAATAGTTTTGAGGTGTTCCGCTGACGAACCCTAGTAGTACTAAAGGTGAAGTCTAATCTCATGAATATTAATTACGGCACGGGTCGACTCTTCTCATTAATATTCCTAAACTAAGCCTTCGTCATAGTACGATTCGTTAGCTCCGTCTGCCTCTCAGCAAATCAGCAGGCCGAACGTAACATTACGCGATTAATATTCATGAGCTCAGCCCGCGCGTACTTGTGTTGTCCTGCGTACAGCGAGCTAATCTGGCTAGCCACTCCGTTTGAAACCAGTCACAACAAACACGTTTAGAGAGGCCCTTGTATCTACTTTGATGTCGTACATGGTCCTAATTAAAAACACACGTAATGAAGTTATCATTGGTTTATTTTGACGCGGTGCAATGGTAGCGCTATAAATCAGTGCTATGAACAAGCACAGGCTAATGGTTAGCTATGCCTTCGTTAGACTGAAAGCACTGGTTTAATCTGGGTTTACTGAAGCTGCATTTACATCGCTCTGTGCTTGAGTACACTTGTGCTTTCTATATTAGCCTACCCCTAAGAAGCTACCTTAAACCATTGTATGCTGGAGCGTGAGTGTGGGTTAGCAGAGCAGCTGTGCTGAGAAGTATCTGATAGACGCTCACCAGCCACGGGCTGTCCTCTTCTGGGACAGTTCTTCCATCGCGGAGGCGCTCCGGTTTGAGACATGCTCCGCTGATGTCGGAGACGGGCGCCGCTCCAGAGCTCAAGCCTGTGTGTCGAGGGCTGGAGGGTCTTCGGTGATCGGCTGCCTGGGCCCTTCACACAAACCCCAGCGCTGTTAGCGGCTCACAGCTTTATCAACAGCTTCGCGCAGTACAGAGGCTCTTCCTCGGTCAGCAGTCATGAGATGAGCTCCATGAGGAGGCCGCTTCTCAAACGCGGCTCAGAAGTAAACAATAATTCTCCACGTTATCCCGCAGTTCTGTGCGTTACCCACTGAAACCGACAGCAGTGACCACAGGCGACCAGGAGGGGGTGCTACACATCCAGACAGACAGACAGACAGGGGTCGCAAGTTCTCAATAGAGTTCAATGGAATTTACCACCATGGTTAGCTTACGATGCTTTTGGGAAACGCACCCCTAGATAGATAGATAGATAGATAGATAGATAGATAGATAGACATCCAGATAGATAGATAGAGATCCAGATAGATAGATAGATAGATATCCAGATAGATATACATACATATAGATAGATAGATAGATAGATAGATAGATAGACATCCAGATAGATAGATAGATAGATATAGATAGACATATAGATAGATATCCAGATAGATAGATAGATATCCAGATAGATAGATAGATAGATAGATAGATAGATAGATAGATAGGCATCCAGATAGATATCCAGATAGATAGACGTATAGATAGATAGATAGATAGACATCCAGATAGATATCCAGATAGATAGATAGACATCCAGATAGATAGATAGATAGATAGATAGACATCCAGATAGATAGATAGACATCCAGATAGATAGATAGATAGATAGATAGACATCCAGATAGATAGATAGATAGATAGATAGATGGATAGATAGATAGATAGATAATTATATAGACATCCAGATAGATAGATAGATAGACATATAGATAGATAGATAGATATCCAGATAGATAGATAGACATACAGATAGATAGATAGATAGATAGATAGATAGATAGATAGATAGATAGA